CTTGTCTCTTGTCCAATTGGCTCCACAACGTATACAAGCTGTTTTCTCCATATTCTTGCTATCAAACAAATAGAAGCTTGGACCTGCCATGAAACATAATTTGTTTATCACTTAGTGCAAAACAAGAAGCTGTGTATGATCCTCGTCCATTCCTCTTTAACATAAAGATCATTGACCTGAGTGTTGAGATCCACCTCCTCTTCATTGAAAGCCAGTTCCTGCAATGACAATATACATTGATGATGATGATTATGATGCGAAAAAGAAACATCCAAGGAAACATTCTTTATGGTTCTTGATTGGAAATTGTTACCTCTTCATCGTATTTATCAATGTCTGGATACAAAACAGCAATCAGGGCATCAAAGTTTGGATCATCTCTTAGAGAACGGCGGCTCGCACAGTGCGACAAGCGGGATATTCATTGTTCCTTGGTAAAGATCAACAATCAGTAGCAGTAGCAGAACATAAATAACAGAGAAGTTGAAGATGATGATACATACCCGAGGCGCATGGCTTTGTCGATGCAGGCTCTGCAGAAACGAGGTAAACACTCCATGACTGTTGGTGTTTTCCTTATGATGCCTGTCCATATATACAAATACATAAAAATGCTAACTAGCTCAAGTTGAAGATATTATGAAAGATCAGATCTCTTGGTCGCAGAGCATTGTTTATCTGTTTAAACTAAAAGACACAAACATAATACTTCTGGAGACGTAAATAAAATACTTCAACCCTAATAACTGAGCACATCGCACTGCTTGATCTACCAGTGTTTAACATGTTTGAGTATGCGGTTTGATCAGCCTATAGTGTGATACTGATAACATTATCAAAATAGAATTTTATATTTCTTAAATAGTATTTAATATAATATTTTGTAGAGAAAATAATGTATCTTTATACCCAGCTTGTAAATTGAATAGTGAATTTTTTATTTGAAAGAAAAAACAAAAACAAATATAATATTATAATAACGGTAAAAAATTGAAGTAACATAATGAAATGAGTATAAAAAAGTATTTCTAAATTAAAAATATACAAAATAATTTTAATAAAGTAATAAAAAAAATGAAATGTATGTACGAATGTATATGAAATAGGTATAGTAAATTGTAAGTTGTTTTGTAGGTTAGATAATATAAAAGAAAATAAATAAAGAGGAATATAGAATAAATTTAAAATATAAATAAATAAAAATTATATATACAACCTTCTGAAATATCTACCTAATACTATAAAAATCTGTAAACTAACAAGACTATTGTTGGTAGATTAAGGCATAAAAAAACTCCATTTTCGGATTAAGGTTATTGCACTCTTCAGCTGCTGCACTATTGCTCTTGTTCAGTGATTAGGGTTTAGTCCTGATCAATGTTGCTTCCGAACTTAATTAATTTCGAGTTTAATTTTATCATCTTCAATTGATTTGCTTGCCTGATTTTAGTTTCTCTATTTGTTTTGGAGAGATGGGTTGAGAAAATCAACATAAGATCGTGTGATTATTGGGTAATCAACGCTAGGTAGGTTCTTAAAAGTGATTTAGGATTTAAAGGAGTATCCTCACTGTCAAGAAAAACTATGATGCATCTATCAATAGTGCGGCACTTGTTGGTTATTTTGTTGTTATTGGATTTATTCGAAGATAAGGAATGTCGTGTCGAGCTATTCTCGTAAGGGTCGCGTGGGTGCGCTCTCGAGAATGCCTATACGACATTGAATGAAGTTTTTAATAATTAAATGAATTTGTATATGGATGAATGGTTTAGTCATGCGCCTGGAGGGTTATATACTGATGTAGTATGAAAAATCACGTATTTTCTAAATATTGTGATATATTTTGGAAATTATTATTTTCAAAAGTAGGAATTCAATTAAATTAATTTCTAAATAAAAAAACTCAAAATTCAGATTAAATTATATATTTTAATTGAGAGATTTAATCTCTTAGATTTGAAATTAAAAGTTGCAAATTTTCAATTAACAACTTTTGGGTTTTAAATTTGAAATGTGCATATTTTCTTCTCGAATAGACACTTCAAATTTCATTATATAAAACTTATTTTCACAAATGTTGAAAAGGAGAAAAAGAAAAAATTATGCAGATTCTTGTCTGCAGAATTAATTTGTGTGTGCAAATAATCTTCCAACTTTTACTTGCTCGATTTTTCGCCTAAAATTCGAGTGTTGTTTTGTTTTATCCTCATATGAATTTTGTGTAACCCGGGGCGTTAATAGGGTTGAAATATCGTATAATGAAAGCGACTCTACGCGACTAAAGTATAAATTTGATTTGTTCGTATTTTCATTCAATCCGGATTATTTATCCAACAATCTTATACGATATTTTTGAAAGATCTTGGATACGATACTTTGGGGGATATGGAAAATAAATTTGGAAAGCTGTCTAAATTTGAGGATAATACAATCTAGTATTTCCAATGATTATTCAGATGGAAATGATTTGGGAGAATGAATTCTGGTGTTACTAGAATTAATTTTGTATAAATTAATTTGTGAATGGTTGGTTCGCAATTCTTTTATGAGAATTGGTTTATTAGTGATTATTTGATAATCACTTGTGCACATTCTAAGAATTTTCAAATATAATTTGACTTCAATTATACGTGGCGTAGGTCAAATGCTTTGACAACAATAATAATTATTGGAATTATTATTTGTGCACAAAATTGAAATTAATATTTTGATGGCTTATGGGGATGGCAAATCGCGGTTAGGCATGAGGCTATCGTTTATCATTTGTAAAATGTTAGTGCTGTTTGAATTATCATAAAGTCGAAGCTTTGTATGTCGAATTGTGTAGATTGGAATCACTCATATCCATTGGCCAATAAAGTGTATTTTCGGAAGTTAGCCGAAGGTACTCGCATCTTTCTATTGTTGTATGTTGATGATATGCTTATTGCTGCCAAGAATATATCCGAAATTCACTATATGAAGTTGCAACTTAGTAGTGAATTTGAAATGAAGGATTTGGGAGCAGCGATATCCAACGTGATCGTGGACAGAGAAAACTGGTCTTGACTCAAGAAAGCTATGTTAAGAAGGTCTTTGAGCATTTTGGCATGAACAATGCCAAACGAGTTAGTGTCCCTTTTGCTAATCAGTATTATCAGTTGCTCAGTCGCCACAATCAGTTGAAGAGGAAGAAGAAATGGCGCGGGTTCCCTATTCAAATGCAGTCGTCGGTCTTATGTTAGCAATGGTATGCACTCGTCTAGATATTTCGCAGGCAGCCAGTGTTGTAAGCAGATATATGTCTTGTCCTGGAAAACCACATTGGCAGGCTGTGAAGTGGATTCGGAGATACTTATAAGGTATTTCGAATGTCTGTTTGGAGTTTGGAAGAAATAGTAGTTCTCTGGTTGGATATGTAGATTTTGATTATGCTGGCGATCTGGATAGAAGAAGATCTCTCTCAGGCTATGTATTTTGTATTGGCAGTTGTGCAGTTAGCTGGAAAGCATCCTTACAACCAATTGTGGCATTGTCTACTACAAAGGCGGAATATATGGCAGTGACAGGAGCAATTAGAAGTTTATGATTGAAAGGTCTTTTGGGCGAGTTCAGTCTACATCAGAGTACTAGTGTTATTCTTTGTGACAGTCAAAGTGCGATACAGTTGACTAAAGACCAAAGGCATCATGACAGAATAAAGCACATCGATGTGCAATATCATTTCATCCGAGATATCATTACTGAAGAGAAAGTTTGCGTTAAAAAAATTGATACAAAGGAGAATCCTGCTGATATGTTTACAAAATGTTTTGTAGTCCTCAAGTTCAAACAATGTTTGAGTTGAATTGGAGTTTAGTGTTGGTGATTTAGCCCGATGGGGCTTTTGTGGAGAAGGTGGAGCAAGCTCACAATGTTGGACACGCCAAGGTGGAAATTTTTTATGTGGTTTTGTCCCACATTGGTTTGTTTTAAAGTTTTAAGTAATAGTTGTCCCACATTGCTTGTGGTAACAAATTAGCCATAAGCTTTTACTATAAATTAGTAATCTTGGGTTGGGTTTTGAGACATACCAAAATTAGACAAGTAGTCTTTTCATATATATTTTTGGGTTATTGTTTTGCCCTTAGGGTGTTTTTGGGAGATTGAGAGTTGTGGGCTCTTGATCATCTATTCGAGCATATTTTGTACTCTTCTCTTGATAGTGAAAGTTTGCTCCACCTTTGCCCGTGGATTTGGGGGTTAAATCTGATGTTTCAATGTGCTATAACAAACACAATCTATACATTGATTTGTAAGAATGCTCTTCATAAAAATCTACAGTTTTACTATCATAATCCAAGTAATAAACTTGAGCCTCATCTTAATAACAATCCAAATCTATACCAACAACTGGTTTCATTGCTTATCTCCTTGTCCTCTTTAAATCCATATGCAACCTTCTTTAGACAGATATATATATATAATGTCTTTTATTGATTGTTATCAAACATGATAATATTGGAACAAAAGTATATACTGTAAAACATATGATTAATATGTAGTACTTATTTCTTTGTGTAGTTGTAAATTTTAATCATGTATTGAAATTTTTGAAATTTCTTTACTGCTATTTTTTAATTTCGTTATGTGATATTTGTGGTCCAAATTGATCTAAAGCCCAAGTGTAAGAACCAAGACAATTTTCTAAGGCCCAACTTGTCTAGCTGATGCACTTATTAATCCACATCCGTCTGTTTGAAGATTTTTTTGCGACCAACATCAAGCGACATACGACATACTGATTCACAAAGGCTAACGGAATGGAGGGGCTAATGGTAACCGCCCAAAACATTCTAGAACATTCCAGAAATACCAGGATTGGCCTTTGACCAAGTTGATGTCTATCCAATAGACATATTTCATCCTTATCCATATGTTTATGTAGATAGAAATTATCCGGACATACTGTAGCATTTGTTAGGCCCAATCCATTATAATGTCTATATATAGAGGAGTCATCCCTCATTTGTAAAATACCTAAGTTTGAGAGCAATACACACTTTACTGAGTTGAGAGAGCCTTGTGCCTTTTTGCTTTCTTATTTTCAGTGATGAGCAGGTTGACCACGTCTCCTTCACCCTTTGTTTGATTGTACTTTTGTGTTTTTTGTGAGTGATGTGTTCTTGTCCACTGTAAGTCAAATAAATCTAGGGTTTGTCTTCGAAATAGTTATAGATCGATATTTGCGAGAGGATAGGGTCTAGCAAGTTGTTTTTTTTCCATCTTTGGGTGTTGGTTCTTGGCATCTTGTGTTCGAATCGTATGTTAGTAGGTGTATTAGGGGCTGAGTTACATTAGTTTTTCATTTCATTTCCTATGGTTTTCATTGTGAAAATCGATTTATCACTCCATATTGTCATTCCAATGACATTTCAAAGTTGGAAGGTTTAATTTTTCGGATTGAACTATAGCACATATAAAGAAATAAGTCAAGAGGCAATGGTGCTGGCTGCATACTCCACCCCAACAACTGAGGGGTGGGTAGACCTTCCAGTATGCTAGGAAATCCAGACTCAAGGCGTGAGGTAATATTATTGATTGTAAAGCATAAGATTTAATTTTCCAAAGATTTTATTATATTTTTGCATTTTCTAAATTGTGATCTTAGTATAAGAATTTGATTTGATCCATAAACACTCATGGAAAATTGTGTTTTCAGATTCTACCAATTCCGAAATATTCAAAAAACATAGTCTCACTATCAACAAAGGAGAGGTTAAATCTTTCAACAATCTGATCATTTCTGTTAGGCAAACTCTTGACATTACATTTGTTTTAAGTGTTTTTATTCATTGTTTACTTGTATCTTATAATGTTATGGTATGCATTTTGAAGGTGTAGATCATTGCATTGGCCACTAATAGCTAGGCTCATACTTATTATGTAGATAGATAAATGAACTGCATCAATTGTTTGCATTGATACTGATGCTCTGTAATTTATTTGTCTTTGCATAGTCATTTACTATACTTTATTTACTTTGATAACAGCTTGTTGTATTCCAATCACTTTCCACTTGTAATGTAGTGAACTTATTAAAATATTCTTCAGGATATATTAACAAAGGTAATGGATGTTACTAGAACTAAACCTGGGGTTGTGTTTGTGATTACAACCCGTGCGATCTTATCAAAGCGTCACAATCCACCTACCTGTGCAACTTATCATAAACTCTTATTGTAAAGTCATTGTCTCCGTGTTCTTCCTTGTTCTTCTCGCTTTCTTAATCGGAGGTATGATTGTGCTCCATTTTTATAGAGTTTATTCTATCTAACATTGTGATCTTCTGAACTTTGTCTCTGGTTGGTTGATTTTATTGTCCACTTTAGGTATTGTAAATATTTTTTATTGTTTTACACAGATAACTTTCAAAGTTGAAGGTTTAATCTTTCAAGTTGACTAATGGGGCGCATAAAGATAACTCCCAAAAACATGACTGTTGCGCCAGCCTAGAAGCTCAGGCCCATACTCTCAGGTAATATTAATGAATGTAAAGCTTAAGATCTAATTTTCCATAGATTTTTATTATGTCTCTGCATTTTTTAAATTGTGATCTAAGTATTCGAATTTCATCAAACCTTAAACACTATTGATAAATTGAGAATGCAGGTTGTACCAAAAAGCATATCCTCACCGTCAAGAAATGAAAGGTTAAATATTTCAACATACTGATAGTTAATCTTTGAAAACTCTTGACAATTGCATGTGTATTAAGTGTTTTAATCCGTTTTGTATGACTTACTTGCAATAATAGAACCTGGGGTTGTTTCCATGTAAGCAACAGGTGGGACCTTGTCACTCGCCACAAACTGCCACGATGTGGAACATGGCGAACACATAATATATGAGGTTTCTTGATTTATTGACATCTACATTGATTTTCCATTCTTGTTTGATTGGAGGCTACCTTTTAGTTTGTTTACCTGTGTTTTGTCATCTCTTTATTTATTTATCTAATTAATGCCTTTTTAAAAAAATATATATGTCTGTATATTTGTCGGTTTATTTTGAAATTGTTTCCATGGTCGGTACATTTTTTCCATTTAAAGATGGATTTCTAAGTGAAAGGAAGGATGAATACAACCTTACTTTGTTCTGATGAAAATATATTCAGCATTAGAATACAAGGTCCGATGATTGCTGCAACTCCTATACAAATTAGTTCATTTCTTGAAAGAATCTCTTGGATTTGAATCACTAAATTTGTGATAAAATTAATTGTGTTTGGTTGGAAGATTTGGTTGATTTCTACTATTCACCATTATTTTCCCCCCAAAAATATCAAATCTAATAGTTATTTTTTATACTATACTAACTAATTTATATCACATCGTACAATTATTTCAATTTTTAAATTTTTTACCAATGGCCAAGTTTAGCAAAAGATGTTGTGAATTTCTGTTAGTTACTAAAGTTGCAATGTAAATAATATCTATATATCAAAAATAATTAAAATAGTTCTTAGCCATTAGTGTGTCAATGGAATCTTTAACTTTAAAACAATTTTCATTTGTCAAGTGTGCCATTGATTGTAGCATGACTTGTTTATCACGGGTATGGGATCGTGATGATTCTCTTTGTTCTTTCTCATGTATAGTTATATTCTCTATTCTCTGTGTTTGTCAGATCTTTCTATGAAATAAATACATATAGCATGTTCATCCTAGAAGTTTGTTTATTTTTCAAATTCTTTTTTCTTCAATTGCAGATCCAACTTTGTTGCTCATCCTAAGTTGAGGATAAGAGAAATAAATCAATCAAAATGTAAAACATTGATGAAGGGAAAAATTGGCACTCTAATAACTTGTTGTATATTGAAAGTGTTATAGTTGAGTTGTTCGTAAACTTAATAATCTCTTTATATTCATTCTAGAGGACAATGTTGTTTGTTGTATATGATGCTCATGTTCTAGAATGTTAATTTTAGACCGGAGATGTGATCATGATTTTGTTAGCATCATCGAACATTAGCGTCGTATAAAACAAACAACTTTGTCCTCCAGAATGAATATAAGGAGAACATTTTAAGTTTACCAACAACTCAACTATAACACTCTCAATTTACAACAAGTTATCAGAGTGCCAAATTTTCCCTCCATATATGCTTTACATGTCGGACGAGCAACAAAGTTCGATATGCAATTGAAGGAAATAGAATGTGAAAAAAGATAAACTTCTAGTGAGCTGGCTACATATATTTGTTTCAGAGTAGTATTTGACAAATATAGAGAATGGAGAACAGAACTACGTACCAGAAAGAAGAAAGAGACACAACGCGATCACATATAGGTGATAAATAAACTCCTACCACAATCAATGGCAAACTTGACGAATGAAAATTGTTTTAACCAAAGATTATTTTGACACAACATTAATGGCTATGCACTCTTCTGATTGTTATAGATATATAGATATTATTTACATAGCAACTTTAGTAACTAAATATAAATTCACAACATCTTTTGCTAAACTTGGCCATTTTAGTTTCGTTTAGGTTTGAATTTTGAATCGTAAAAAAATTTGAATCTAAATAGTTGTATGATGTGATATAAATAGTGTTTATGTGATATTTTGAATATAAAATTGATTTATAGTATAATATAAAAAAATAAAAAATAAGTATTTGATGAACTCTTTATTTTCTTGCTTATGTGATTTGTGTGGATTTTGTAGTATAAACGATTCGATGATTATTAAAGAAAATTTTAACAATTTTTTTTTCCTTTTTTAGAAAAATCCTGTGCTATAGGCTTGACTGATCAAAGGCATCATGGTGTTTGAACCCATAGTCTTGGGGGTCATACCAACTTGGCCACAATTACTAATAAAAAAAATAAATATATTGATTTCATCAGATGAAAATGGGAAATCATGGATGGAGGAGGGAGTACATTTTTATTTTCAATTGACATTATCCAAAAATCATTGTAAACCCTTAGTCACTGCATGCGTCTTTCTTGCTGTTCTTGCAAAAGAAACTTTCTTAATCAGATTTTTGGGTGATAGGATTTTTTAGCCTAAAAAGCGTGCTAAAAAAATTGCAGAAGTGGATCGAAAACAATTGAAGCATAAAAAAGTTGCAAGATAAGAAAAAAAGTAATGTACTTTTGTGGAAAAACAAATATAGAAAAACCGCAAGCGAGGATAAATCCACTAGATAAATGGAATGATTGTTGCGAATCACAAGAAAAATTGCTACAAGACCACACTGAAGACGATGAAGAAAAAGTAGAGCAGAGAGAGGAGCGTGCAGGGCTGTTCTTGGATAAGCTTCAAATCTAATTTTATTCAATGAAAATATGTCTTAATTTACTGAAATTAGGATCCAAAAATAAATATGGAATAGATATTAATAAAATCCACTTTCTAAAACTAAATATAGTAAATAATAATTATAAAACTATATCCTTATTAATTTTGAATCATATCTTAATACTCACCCTTGATTCAGAAGTACAAACACCAACACTACAAAAAAATAATATATTTATAACGGAATTTCGTCCCTAATGTTCACGTAGCTAACGTAATTTCATTCCTAATTCCGTCTCTAATGTCATTAGCAACGGAAAAAGTAGATTTACAGACAAAAAAGTTTTGTTACAAAAATGATTTTTTCTTGTAGTGCAAGCTTCGACCGGAAGTCAACATGCTTGTCTCGAGGGAGTGACTTGCTATTAAATTCCTTGACACAATATCTCGAATAAAATGTAATCGAATATCAATGTGCTTTGTCCTTCGGTGGTAGGCTGGATTCTTCGCATGGAAATCGCTACGTTGTGGTCACAAAAGATCTCAGTTGGTTCAGATTTTGAACAAAATCTGCAAGAATACGATGTAACCAAACTGCTTGACAAGCTGACGTTATCGCTGCTATGTATTTAGCTTCAGACATTGAAAGTGCTGTCGATTCTTGCTTCTATGAACTCCAACTTCTTACTTCTTCTGTCCTCCAAGCAACCTGCCCAATCGTTGTTCGTATAACCGATCAACTTGAAATTGGATGCATGGCTATACCATAATCCAAGATTGTTCCAGCTACATAGCGTAACACTTTTCTGCAGCACCAAAATGAAGTTGTGAAGGACAATGCATAAAACTGGAAAGTACTCCCACCGATAAAGCAATGCCTGGATTGAGAAGGCAAGCTTATGTTGGTAATATAAACTTGAGTTAAAATTCTCATTAAATTATGTATTAATTATTGTGTGTTGTGCGTTTAGTTTCTCAATGTTTGAGTTATGTGTTAAGGGACTGTTTGGTTGCTTTGTAACTGCTATTTATAATGTCTGTGTATTAGTGTTATTGGAGTGAGAAGACAAGTTTTTGAATTATCCACTCCCCCGTCAGTTATTGGAATTTTTTCTTCTTCCAAATCCAACAAAGTGGTATCAAAGCCACCACCACCACCACTGCCACAAAAGCATCAAAATGAATAGCACTCTACCATTTCAAAACCCAAAACTAACTCAAGAAAATTATGACCATTGGTCCATCAGGATGAAAGCATTGGATCGCAAGAAGTGTAGGATATTGTTGACAGAGGCTATGATTCATCTGCAACTACGTAAGGGATGACAGTAGCACAAAGAAATGCACACAACAGAATAAAGAAAAAGGACCAGATGGCTCTCTCCCTCATTCACATATGTCTGAAGGACAACATCTTCGAAAAGGTTTCATTGGCAAGCACGACGAAGGAAGCCTGGGAGATTCTTCAAAATCCTTGTCAACGAAAAGATAAGGTAATCAAAGTTCGATTACAAACATTGAGGGGAGAATTCGAATCATTGAGAATGAAGGGTTCTGAAAGTGTTGGAGACTATGTGAACCAAGTCCTTGCCATCGTCACTCAGATGAAGAGATATGGCGAAACCATCGATGATGTTCGAGTGAATGAGAAAACTCTCAGATCATTGGATCCAAATTTTGATTATGTCGTTACTGCAATTGAGGAATCAAAGGATTTGTAAGACTTGTCTATTGATCATCTTTTGGGGTCATTACAGGCCCATGAGGAAAGAATCAAACGACAAGAAGAGCCGTTTGTCCAGGTGCTGCAATTGAAATTATCACTACAACATGAGAATGAGCAATTCAGAAACAACAGAGGAAGAGGCAGAGGAGGAGGACGAAGTCATGGTCATGGCCGCGGTTTTGAACGAGGAAGAATGAAGGCAAACCATGGTGGTAGAGCTAAAATGGACTCACATGAACAAAGAATTCGAGGACGAGGAAGACGGGGTCGTTTTCATGGAGGTTGCGGATGGAAGAATAACATCCAATGCTACAACTGCCAAAATTTTGGACACTTTGCAGTAGATTACAAATTTAACTCAAATAGAGTTGAAAAGGTGAACCAAATGGAGGCTACTAAAGAAGAAGAGGAATCCACATTGCTATTGTCTTGCAAAGGTGAATCAGAAAAAACGCAAGAGACTTGGTTTGTTGACTCCGGCGCTAGCAATCACATGACTGGAAACAAATCCTTGTTCTCCAATCTTGATGAATTTGTGAAAGGAAATATTTCTTTTTGGAGATAGTTCAAAGGTGCCAATTATAGGGAAATGTGATATTCTAATCAAATTGAAGAATCAAGAACATGAGTTTATATCTCACGTCTATTATGTACCAGACTTGAAGTCCAACATTTTAAGCATGGGCCAATTATTGAAAAAAGGATATGAGTTTCATATGTAGGGCAATAGGCTGGTAATGAGAAATGGAAATGGAAAGCTAGTTGCAAAGGTTCCGTTGACAAACAACATAATGTTCGAACTTAACATTTATCCAGATCACGTTAAGTGCATGAACATGTCTATTGAAGATCCTTCGTGGCTTTGGCATCAACGATTTGGCCACTTGAATTTTTACGGGCTGAAGATAATGACATTGGAGAAAATGGCATAAGGTTTACCTTCGATAAATCATCCAAATCAATTATGTGAAGGTTGTATTTTGGGAAAACAATTTCGGAATTGTTACCCAAAGGAATCTGGAAGTCGTGCCACGAAGCCTTTGCAATTGGCGTACACAGACATTTGTGGTCCTATCACTCCAGCATTATTCGGTAACAAGAATTTTTTTTTGCTGTTGATTGATGATTATAGTCGCAAGACATAGGTTTATTTCTTGAAGGAAAAATCCAAAGCATTTGATGCATTCTAAAGGTTCAAGGCTTTAGTTGAGAACAACGCAGACCTAAAAATCAAAGCAATGAGAACAGATCAACGAGGGAATTCACTTCAAATGCCTTCAACAAATTTTGCGAGGAGCATGGGATTGATCGAAGTGAACGGTCATGAGTCTGATTCATCTTATTTCTAATCATGAAGTGAACAGTCATTTTTTATTTGAACCAAAATAACTTTTGTGGTTGGAAAAAAATTGTAAGAACTTGTTCGTCAGTTCACTTCCACGAATTGGATGTCATCTTAGCATCTTTGATACCATTTGACAATATAAGGGGGTGATAAAAAAAATGGATGAAAAAAAGAAAAGACGGTACAAGATTAATATTTTACATAAAACGTTGTAGGTGCTTTTGTTTGTTATTTTACTTTGAAGTATATTTTTATATGAATTATGGAGATTGTATTCTAAAAAATAATATTTAGTATTGAATATTAATTTTTATCGAGAGAATATAATTTATATCATATACTTTTAAAATTATATCAATAAAAATATTATTTAAATGAAAAAAAAACTGTATTTTGATATAATTTATTTATAATTAAAAATGTTATAGATTATTATAAATTTAAGATAATAAAATAAAAAGTAAAATAAAATACTAAATATGAATTGAGAAGAGAAAGATGGGGCAAAATTCATAAATTAAATTTAAAAATTTTACTTTCTACATTAAAATTTATATATTTTTTTTCTAGGCTTCGGGTCAAGTGCACCTCCAAGCCCCTTCTTGGTTTCGTCCATATATGTGAGTTATTCCCGGTAACTTTTGTGCTCCACGAGTTGCTGTTGGCCTATTTTATTCACCATATAAATATTGGATTACATACAATATTAAAATAACTATTGACGTACAACAACGACAACGACGAAAACAACGACAACACAACAACAACAATAATAACAGCAACAACAACAACAATAATAATAATAATAATAATAATAATAATAATTATAATAATAATAATAATAGTAGTAGTAGTAGGCGTGACTTACAACATAGTAGAAAACACTACCATCTTGCTTGAGAACTAAGTTCAACAGCAGTAAAAAGTATTTAATGTGATATTTGAAAAAAAAAACAGTTAAATAGTATAAAAATTCCAAAATATTTAACCTAATTCACCTAATTTTACTATATTAATTAATGACATATTCCATAAACTTGCTAATATATATCATTATACTTACCAACCAATTCACCAACCTACCAAAAAAGTATAATTTTTATTAAGCATCGATTACCGTAGTGATGGTGTCAAATTAGTATGATTCTAATTTGATCCAATCGGTATATATTTTGATAGAATATTATATAATTATATATAGCATAACATATTCTAATTTCGGCACAATAGCACAATAAATAGCTATATACAACACAATATATAATGCACAAAATAAATATTAATACAATATGTAACATAACATATTATATAATTTTATATAACACAATATAGGGAGATTGAAGGACATTATATAATCCATACCACATATATTTCTATATAAGACAGGATATAAATACCGCAAATTTTCTTATAATACATTTAGTCTTTTATACTGACGAATTTTTAGGTCGGATTTTAAGTCAGGAAAAGCCGTAAAACAATTAGGTCGTTTTTCCAAAAATATTAATAAATTATACACATTCATTATTATTATCTTTTCTATACAATTCCCTATAACTCACATAAAAAAAAAAAAAAAAAAAAAAAAAGGTAATGTAAAAGATTAAATGAGCTTAATTCCAAGCCAAAAAATAAAAAATATCCACTTTGGCTTAAAATTAGAAAATTTCAAATAAAAAAGCTCGATAATGCCGCTTCTTCCACTTTCAATGTCCCTCAGGGACTCGCATAGTGCACAAGCTGATCAACTCTAGCCCAATTTTTCTTATAATACAATTTATACTCTTTTATACCGATGATTTTTCAGGTTGGATTTTAAGTCAAGGAAAAGCAGTAAAACATTTAGTCTAAGGTGTGTGTATTCATTTGAGATTTTATAGAAATTTATTGGATTTTAAAAAGTTTATGGATTTGTGTAGATTTAGAAAATCTACATAGTCTACGCAGAGTTTGATGAATTTTATTTATTAATTAAATGGATTTTTATATATTTGATTGGATTGTTAATGAATTTATATAGATTTCATATGATTGTGGAATAATCATTTTTATTGATATATATATAATTTATATAAAACACATTTGTAAATAAAAAATATTCAAATAATAAAATAAAAATACAAAAAATACAGTAGTCAGAAAAATACATTAAATTATTCATTAGTTTCATCTTCATTCTCACCATCTATATTTTCCTCACCATTTTACCCCGTCTCATTTCTTACATAGTATTAGCAATAGTTATTCTCCATGCATTAGCTTATGTTCTGTGTTGTAGTTCACTTTGACAAAAAAAATTCTAAATTTTCATCTTCTACATCAAGGAGAATCTTGATCTTCATATTCGACTGGAAAATCATCAGATCGGCATTCTTTCCATGAAAATTATGTAATCCATCACAAGCCAACACTAACTTTGCATGTTTGAAATGGGAATGGAGGGGAGATTTTAGAAAATGTAAATAGCAATTTAAAAATACCGAAAATTCTCTCAATCAAATTTCTTAATGATGCATTATGAAGATTGAATAGTTCACTTGCATTTCTAGGATGACGATGTTGACCACCAAAATCTTTTAAATAATATCGAACACCACTTTATGGAGCTAAAAATTGACGCAGGTTAGCAAATCCACAATCCACAAGAAAATATATACCTAAAAATTAATAGTAAAAAATAGTTAGCTTGTCACTATTTTAAAAAATATATAAATATAATAAAAATTAGGGAAAAATTGCAAAAACTGCCCTATATGTAGGTCAAATTATCATTTTCGAACATTTTTTTCTCACATTCGCAATTTAGGACATTATGTGTACACCGGACATTATTTTTGCCCTTCGACGCCGAAAAAACGCACGTGACTGTCACGTGCGTCTTCGTGGCATGGCCAACGCATACGTGGACGCTGCCGTTGCTATGTTGTCGTCCGCGTGGTTGTCGGACAGGTAACGTGGAATTATTGTTCTTTTACTTTCGCAATTAGGACATTATGTATACGTCGGGTATTATTTTTGCCCTTTGGTGCCGAAAAAAAAATTGTTCTAAGTTTTTTTTATTTCAATTTGGTCCAGTTGGTTATTTGCAATTTGGTCCAATCGGGCCAAATTAAAATTTTTAAAAGTTATAATTTATTTAAAAAAATAATTCCGCGTAAGTTATCCAACGACCCTAGAACAAATTGTTTTTTCGGAACCAAATGGCAAAAATAATACTTATAGTACACATAATGTCCTAATTTGTGAAATTAAAAAGAAGATAATTCCACGTCACCTGTCCGACGACCACGCGGACTACAACACAGCAATGGCGTCGTCCACGTTTGCGTCGGCCATGCCACGAAGGCGGACGTGACGGTCACGTGCGTTTTTCCGGCGCTGGAGGGAAAAAATAATGTCTGGAGTACACATAATGTCCTAAATTGCGAAAGTGGAAAAAAAGTGTTCGGAAATGATAACTGGACCTACATACAGGGCATTTTTTACAATTTTCCCTAATAACTATGTTACCTTGAGGCACTTGAAGTCCATTTCTTCTTGATAATGCATCATTTAAAAGTTTTGAGTCATGTATTGAGTCTTCCCACCCACTAAGCACATATATAAACTGCAAATCAAAGTTGCAAGCAGCCAAAATATTTTGTGATTGAACACCATGACGGTTGAGATAAATTCTTACTTCACGACCTATTACAGTTGCCGGAATGCGATTTCAATCGATAGCTCCGATGCAATACTGAAATAAATGAACACTTATTTAAAAAAAATTGCAAAAAATGCCCTATATGTAGGTCCAATTATCATTTTCGAACATTTTTTTTCCACTTTCGCAATTCAGGACATTATGTGTACTCCGAACATTATTTTTGCCCTCTGGTGCCAGAAAAACGCACGTGACCGTCACCCAAAATGACTATTGATCCAACTTAAAACACTAATCCCGACAAATTGTGCTTGCAGGTTCTTCCGGTTTCGGAAACTTCAAAATGACTATTGTCACGAAGAGAGGTTATATATTTCAAGATACTGATAATTTCATATTCTCAACTTTTGAGATTGCATG